TGTGTGTGTGTGTGTGTGTGTGTGTGTGTGTGTGTGTGTACCTCAGCTGTTTCAGACATACAACTCTGACATGAGAGTGAAATGAAATCCTCCTGCACTTTTTAGTTTGACCTCAGAAAAAGTGTCCGCTGGCAATGTTGAGGTTTCAGCTCCTCAGTCCATTGGCTCAGCAACCCGTCACTGCAGACAACCACAGACAGACACACACACACAGACAGACAGACACACACTTACATAAACAAAAATACTCTAGCATTAAATGATGGGGGTTTTCTGCAACCAGGTTTTCATTGTGCAGACAGATCCAGGTTAATATTGTTTAGTCCAAGTAGCTGGCTCTGCTTACACTTTCCAGGAATATATTGGGTAGTCATGGTTGGACTCTCACCAGAAACCAGAAGCGCACAGACAGACGGTGTTGAGTGCTCAGTTCAGCTGTATGACTCAGAGGAAATGCCTGCCCCCTCAGAGATGTTATTTCAGATGCAACATGCATCATGTCCATGTTCGTAGCCTCCCGTCTACAGCAGATGTTACACAGTCCTCAGGGTCACACTTAACACATATAAATCATTTATTAGAAAGCTGCTCACTGACAAAACAGAACCAAGCTCATGAATAGTTTGTGTTTTAATAACTCAAATCAATCATTAGTGAGGGCTGGTGTCGGCTGCAACCACAGTATCTGGAAAATACATTTGCAGATATCATTTTAATTCTCACATTTAAAACAATCCGATTTTATTAATTTTTAAAACCACGATCAACACTAATTTGAGTGGTTGCGTATATGCAGTAGTGAGAATCAAAGGAGTCACATAGCTTTCTCTCCTCGTGCCCAACAGTGAGGGTTATATATAGGAAGTCATCTGCTCTTGGATGCTGCCCCTTTATTTCTTAAAGGTCCAGTGTGTAAGATTTTAGTGAATGCCAATTTCTATTGGCAGAAATTGAATATAAAGGATATAAAGTGATGTTTTCACGAATGTGTGAGACTTTTGTCTTTACCCTAGAATCTGACCTTTATATTTACCAGACTGGACAAACTAAACACCTTTTGATTTTTTTATGACAACTGAAGGCTACCACAGGTTCTCTGTCATATCAGCTGCTACATACAACTTAACCACTAGATGTCACTAAATCATACACACTGAGCCTTTAAGGGGTTTGTCTCCTTGACCCCTTTTAGACTGAGTAATGTGGTGTAAAAGCATGTTTCCTGTTGGTTTCATAACACATTGTCTGGCTTCAGAAAGCTGCTCTGACCTGGGCTTTGCTGCACATTTTAGCACCGTTTTTTTGGAATGAATCATGTCTTTCATTACAACTGTAGGATCACTACTATACTTGCCAGATGTGCACCGTTTTCAACATCCTTTACTAGTAAGACCATTTAAAGCTTTTTAATTCTATGACCTCCTTCCTCTGCTTTATTGTGATGAACATCAATGTTAACATTGAAATTTTTACCAAACTACCAAAGTTCAACTATGTTTAGCAGATATACAAAGTGTGTGATTATTTTGAGGCTGAACTGTCGCCTGTTGAACGACAGTTGAAGATGCTGGTCTTGTGTAAACAGGAACAACCAGGGATTAAATTATGAGAGTTGAGTGATGTGAATTGCTCAGTGACAGCATGTGTGTTCATTATACCGTGTCAAACACAAGTGACATCTCTCTCTCCATCTGTGAAACACAAACACTCAGCACAGATAAATATGTGTTCACAATCTTTTATGATCTTATCAGGACCACACAGTTTCGTAAAAGCACTTGAATTTTGTCAATTTCTCTCTGAAGGTTGTTCTGACTGTGTATATAGCACTGAACACCTCAAGTACAGAACTAACAAAATGGAGAAACAGGTCTTCACATCCATTTTCAGTGAGGTAATGCATTATTTTGCAGTTCCTGTAATGGTCACTGGATACTGTCAACTCATTTCGAGCTCCACACTTTGACCAGTTATGAATTTTTTTGGCATTAGTTATGACCAAGAGTATAGCAATGGTGGAAAGCAACAAGTGCATTTACAACAATACTCTACATGAGTATAATGAGGATCTTTACTTGATAACTACCTCTGCAAAGGAGCTTATGTTTTCAGTGACTTTGTTTGTTAGTTTGTTAGTTTGCAGCATTAAACAAAAACTACTTAACAGATTTCCATGAAACTTTGTGTAAGGATGTGGTTTGCATCAGGGCAGAACCCATTACAACGGATTCATGTATTTTTTCTTAAAAACAATTTTATGTCACTTTCACTAATTTCTCAGAGAATTATTAATGGATCTAAATGAAAGAAAAAAAATCAGGCATATTTTGGTAACTGTTATCTGAGCAATGTGGTGCAGCTTTACTAATTATTGGGCTTTGGCAGAGTTTGTGCTCCTCTGAGTTCTAGTCACCATTTTATTTTCTCTGCTACATTTTCAGTGCTTCAAGTCTGAAATTCTGCACCTGTTGAGGTAACAGTGGTGTAAGTGGTAGTGCTGTGGCCACCATTGTAATACAATCAACTACGATTCCATGTCTCTTCGTCTAGATTTGTAGATGATTCTCCCTCTACAGCAGCTTAGCTGGCAGTTTTTCTTTTATTAAAATTCTGTTAAGTGCTTTGCTTTCTGTTGGTTGCATGTACAAAATAGCTACTATTGTTTTACTGTCTTATTTATAGTCATTCTCTTAATACCCCCCCATGAATCTCACAGGTTACGTAATGAAATGGAACTCTC